GAATGAAGTTAAGTTAGTTTGACATGATTTATGTTTCATAAAACCATGCTGATTTCTACTAATGACATTGCTTTTCTTAATGAACCCATGAATATAATACTATAGGAATATAATCACATCTGACTTTCTCCAGTCCATTGTTCCAATACCTGAAAGAAAATAATCTTAAAGATTCTTGTCAGTAATTTGTATCTGGACTGACCATTTTGGTGGGAGTAGTCTTATATGCAAATTACTGATTTGTTGTCCATTCAACATTCCATTTGTTGTCTGGTGTTGCCTTGCAATCTGTCTGTTTTGCAATATACTTCCATGCCTTTAAAGGGACACTCCAGTGCCAGGAAAACAATCCGTTTTCCTGGCACTACAGGTCCCCTCTCCCCGGTTGCTGAAGGGGTGAAAACTTACCTGAGACCCCTGCCGATATCCCTCGGAGGTGGTTTCGGGTCGCCGTCGCTCCTCCCCTTCCTTACGTTAGCCAGTGGGCGAGACTGATCCTGCCGGCCAGCCAGGAAGACCTAATGCGCATGCACGGCAATGCCGCACATGAGCATTAGAGCTCTCCATAGGAAAGCATTGAAAATGCTTTTCAATGCTTTCCTATGGGGAATAGACACGGAAGTGCCCTCTAGTGGCTGTCTAGTAGACAGCCACTAGAGGAATAGTTAACTCTGCAAGGTAATTATTGCAGTTTATAAAAAACTGTAATAAATACACTTGCAGGGTTAAGGGTAGTGGGAGTTGGCAACCAGGCCACTCCAATGGGCAGAAGTGGTCTTGGTGCCTGGAGTGTCCCTTTAAGGATATCCTGTAAAAGTTACATATAATAGTTACATTTAAAAAAAAAGTGAGGTATGCAATGTACATACATCTAATGGTCTTACAAGAATAAAACTTGACTTAGCACAACTGCGTAACATCTTCTGTTCTATTGTTCCCGCCTCCATCTCACTGAAGTGGCTATGGTTCCTGTAATCCTCTGGAATTCTCTTATCTTATAGTGTTAAACTGTTTTCAAACGCAAAAGTGTCACGAGGTGTCCATCTGCTGCCTTTCCTTCTGTGCTTAGACTAATGTAGAAGCATAAGCATTAGCTCAAGCAGTGAAGGGGCAACATTTATAGGCTGAGTGCTTTAGAGTTAACTGCTTTTGCCTGAGGAAATAATGACAGCAACCTCAAATGCACTATTGGAAAAAGGAAGTCTGTTGAAGGCTGGGGAACCTTTAGGTCCTGGCCTTCAAGTGAATATTAACTGGACATTTACTACCTACCTAGAGAAATGATGCAGACCATAGTCACCCCTTCATGGTAATGGTGTTGCCTTGTGGTAGTGGCCAGGAATGGTTTGAAGAACATGACAAAGGTGTTGCCTTGGCCTCCAAATTACCCAGATCTCAATCCTTTTAAGCATCTGTGGGATGTGTTGGAACAAATCTGGTCCATGAAGGAACCACCTTTCAACTTGCAGGACTCAAAGCTTATTTCTTGACACATTCAGAGATCTTGTTGAATCAATGCCTTGATGCATCATAGCTGTTATGGAAGCACAAGGGGGACCTACATACATGATATCAGGCAGGTGGTTTTAGTGTTGTATCTGGACAGTGTATGAAATATCGGGTTTAAGCAAATATGAACAGTCTTTAAGTGATTTTTTCATTATATTTCATTTCAGCAGTCCCACTACAACTTTTCCAGGCTTTCCAAGTTAAAGGAAAACTTTAGTGTTAAGAATAGAAACCTGTATTCCTAACACAAAAGTATTTTTCTGCACCTCTCCCTCGCACTCTCCACCTATCTGCACATAATGGGTTGAAAACCCATTCCAGTGCCAAGGTCCCTTAGCCCTAACTTTGTCTCCACCTCCGACATCAGCGCCAAGGAGGAACCTAATGTGCATCCACTGCTGGTGCCACTTGCATTAGCCTTACCTATAAGAAAGCATTTGGGGTTTTTAAAGAAACATAGAAACATAGAATGTGACGGCAGATAAGAACCATTCGGCCCATCTAGTCTGCCCAATTTTCTAAATACTTTCATTACTCCCTAGTCTTATCTTATAGTTAGGATAGCCTTATGCCTATCCCACGCATGCTTAAACTCCTTTACTGTGTTAACCTCTACCACTTCAGCTGGAAGGCTATTCCATGCATCCACTACCCTCTAAGTAAAGTAATACTTTCTGATATTATTTTTAAACCTTTGTCCCTCTAATTTAAGACTATGTCCTCTTGTTGTGGTAGTTTTTCTTCTTTTAAATATAGTCTCCTCCTTTACTGTGTTGATTCCCTTTATGTATTTAAATGTTTCTATCATATCCCCCCTGTCTCGTCTTTCCTCCAAGCTATACATGTTAAGATCCTTTAACCTTTCCTGGTAAGTTTTATCCCGCAATCCATGAACCAGTTTAGTAGCCCTTCTCTGAACCCTCTCTAAGGTATTAATATCCTTTTGAAGATACGGTCTCCAGTACTGTGTACAATACTCCAAGTGAGGTCTCACCAGTGTTCTGTACAATGGCATGAGCACTTCCCTCTTTCTACTGCTAATACCTCTCCCTATACAACCAAGCATTCTGCTAGCATTTCCTGTTGCTCTATTACATTGTCTGCCTACCTTTAAGTCATCAGAAATAATCACCCCTAAATCCCTTTCCTCATATGTTGAGGTTAGGACTCTATCAAATATTCTGTACTCTGCCCTTGGGTTTTTACGTCCAAGATGCATTATCTTGCACTTATCCACATTAATTGTCAGTTGCCACAATTCTGACCATTTTTCTAGTTTACCTAAATCATTTGTCATTTGGCTTATCCCTCCTGGAACATCAACCTGTTACATATCTTAGTATCATCAGCAAAAAGAGATACCTTACCATCAAGACCTTCTGCAATATCACTAATAAAAATATTAAAGAGAATGGGTCCAAGTACAGATCCCTGAGGTACCCCACTGGTGACAAGTCCAAGCTTCGAATATATTCCATTAACTACAACCCTCTGTTGCCTGTCACTCAGCCACTGCCTTACCCATTCAACAATATTGGAATCCAAACTTAAAGATTGCAGTTTATTGATAAGCCTTCTATGTGCAACAGTGTCAAAAGCCTTACTGAAATCTAGGTAAGCAATGTCTACTGCACCACCCTGATCTATAATTTTAGTTACCCAATCAAAAAAATCAATAAGATTAGTTTGGCATGATCTCCCTGAAGTAAACCCATGTTGTCTCTGATCTTGAAATCCATGTGTTTTTAGATGTTCATCAATCCTATCCTTTAACATGGTTTCCATCACTTTCCCACTACTGAAGTAAGGCTTACTGGCCTATAGTTGCCCGACTCCTCCCTATTACCTTTCTTGTAAATGGGCACAACATTCGCTAACTTCCAATCTTCTGGGATTACTCCTGTTAACAATGATTGGTTAAATAAATCTGTTAATGGTTTTGCTAGTACACCACTAAGCTCTTTTAATAGCTTTGGGTGTATTCCATCAGGTCCCATTGACTTATTTGTCTTTACTTTTGACAGTTGAAATAGAACCTCTTCCTCTGTAAACTCACGTGTAATAAATGACTCATTTATCCTTTTTCTCAACTGAGGTCCCTTTCCTTCATTTTTATCTGTAAATACAGAACAAAAATATTCATTGAGGCAATCAGCTAGACCTTTATCCTCTTCTACATACCATCCTTCTTTTGTTTTTAATCTAACTAATCCTTGTTTTACTTTTCTTTTCTCATTTATGTATCTAGAAAATGTTTTATCCCCCTATTTACTGACTGTGCTATTTTCTCTTCTGTGTGTGATTTGGAAGCTCTTATAACTTGCTTAGCCTCTTTCTGCCTAATCTTATAGATCATTTTGTCTTCCTCACTCTGGGTTTTTCTTTAATTCCTAAATGCTAACTTTTTGTTTTTAACTATTTTGGCCACATCTGCGGAGTACCACAGTGGTTTCTTGAATTTTTGCTTTTACTGACAAGCCTAATGCAATTTTCTGTTGCCTTCAATAGTGCAACTTTTAAATAATCCCATTTTTCTTGGACTCCATTTAAATTGCTCCAGTCTGATAATGACTCCTCTACACATATTCTAATTTTAGAAAGGTCTGTTTTTCTAAAGTCTAAAACTTTTGTTTTTGTGTGGTGTGACTCAGTCACTGTTCCTATATTAAACCACACTGACTGATGATCACTGGATCCTAAACTTTCATCTACAGTAATATCTGATACCAAATCTCCATTTGTTAACACTAAATCTAGTATGGCCTCTTTACGAGTTGGCTCCTCAACAACTTGTTTTAGAGACAATCCCAGTAGGGAGTTTAGAATATGTGTGCTCCTGGCACAAGTAGCTAATTTTGTTTTCCAATTTACATCAGGAAGATTAAAGTCACCCATGATGATAACTTCTACCTTCATTGTCATTTTAGCTATTTCCTCAACTAGTAGATTATCTAACTCTTCAATTTGTCCTGGTGGCCTATAAATCACACCTACATGAGTTACTGTGTGATTACCAAATTCTAACGTAGCCCAAACGGACTCTATGTTTGCCTCACTAACTTTTATTAGGCTAGATTTTATGCTATCCTTCACATACAAGGCCACCCCTCCCCCTTTCTTGCCTTCCCTATCTTTCCTATATAAAGAGTACTCTGGTATTGCTATGTCCCAGTCATTTTTCTCATTGTACCATGTCTCAGTAACAGTGACTAAATCTACACTATCAGTTGCCATTATTGCCACAAGTTCATGGATCTTATTCCCTAAACTGCGAGCATTTGTAGACATGACTCTAAGCTTATCATTTTTTAACACACTTGCTACAGGCACCTTCTGTCCTTGTTTTGGGGGACAATTGACGTTTAAAAAAAAAAAAAAAGTATCCTCCTCCCCATGGTTACAATATTGAGGTAACATATCTAGAGGGATTTGAAAAGTAGCTTATTTTCTTAAATGGTTGCAAAGCATTGTGTTAACAAAACAAATATCAACTATTCAGTAAATGCTGTAAAATTGGAGTCACTGGATGGAAAATCCCTCCAAGACAGAATGGACACCATATAGACAGCACAGTGGATCCGTGATACGGGCATTTCACCTCGAAGACTGGATGACCCAGGGGACTGACCAGTGCAGTTGATGTCTCCAACAGATACGCGAAATGTGAAGTTGGGTTGGTGTGCTTGTCCTTCAGCTTTCAGTAAGTTATATACAGGGGTCTTTCCTATCCGAGTCCCATACTCCTGCAGTAAGTTGATTGGGGTCTTCCCAGGGCTCAAAGCAAGCATCTGCTCTAAACTGGGACACCCGGAGCTCGTCTGGTTCCCACACTCCTCGTTCTCACTCATTCCCTCCCGGTCTACGCTCTCCAGTAACAATGACCGGGGCAGGAAGCATGGCTCACAGAGCTAAACCATCACCGCAGCGGGCACGCAGGGAATTGTAGTCTTAAAAGCCGAGCCTTCTTAGGGCCGCTGGCTCTCCACTGACTACATTTCCCGTGCAGACGTTCGCGTGCCACGTCGGCCAATCAGGTCTCAGCTCCCAAGCAGACAAAAAGCCTCGGGAGATGCTCAATGTCCAGTGTTTCTGGAATCCATGAAACAACAGGAAGCACCTCTAGTGGCTGTCTTACCCCTGCATTGTAAACATTGCAGTGTCTCTGAAACCTCAATTTTTTAAGTTGCCGGACTAAGGGGAAAGGGACAGTGCATCCAGATCACTTCAATGTTAAATGAGATGAAGTAGTCTTATGCAATGGGGATATTTTTTCTACTATAATGTTTGCAAACGTTTAGCTCTAATATAGCCTGATCTTTGAGGAATTAAAGGAACGGCTATTATCCTGTTCCTCTATTACAAAGCTTTACTCTTGTTACCTGAATAGAGGCACCTGTTTTTTGATTCATCAGTAAAGATCCAACACATCTTTCTACAAATGACCATAACACCCATGTTAGCACCTGATGACCTGTGTTTTAGCATTGCCAATACATTATTATTATAGTAATGTTGATGCATTATGTGAGAAAGAATAAATATGACATACTCAGCCTTTACTAAAGTGTTAGCCCAGCTGAAGTATAAAACAAATAATTCAGTTTTTGTCTTTGATGCATATAATGGAGAAATATTGTGTTTGATTTAATGTTAATCACAAACTAAGCTATTCATGTCCATTTTGAACACGTGGCCTTAATGTGTTGGCAGAATACCTATAAAATGTGATGCTCTATTTTAAAAGGATAATTCCTTATAAAGAACACCTTCATAGTTACAGCACATGTGGATAGTTAACATTTAGATAATGTCCTTGGTATAATTGCAGGCCACAGCTCCCATTATGCAAATGTCACATACCCATGACTTTGAGTTTTATTGCTATAATGAAATACATTTTTAGCTATACAATCACTCTAAAGCAACATTTACAATTTATTGGCACTGACATAAATGATTAGATGAACCAAAGGCCTACATCAAATTGTAATCAAAATAATTCTTTTTTCCCTGACCGGATAATGACCCTGCCATTGAATATTATTATTTGTTATAACTGCTAACAAAATATGAAATGTGTTTTTTTCAATGCTTCTACAGTCTTGTGCTGAAGAATGATGGTCTATTATCTATTTGTGATAACATCCACTATACTTATTTTATTAACTTTTAAAATACCAAGCAGTTTTTTAAACATTTAGAATATCATTTATTTTAAACATGGAATGCAAATCTAGCACATAGACGAAGGATGAAACAGAAATTGTGTATATTCCATGACAGGTGCATAGTCGCCATAGGGGTAGGGGAGGGATCTATGAAACCGAACCCAAACCCACCCAATAAGACAGTGACACTCTTATGTATGGGTCAAAATTGTCCACAGCTTTATTAATAATAAAGATAATAAATTATCATGTACAAATATATAAAGGTCATTACCCGCCACCCCCCCAATATTATACCATCTCTCCCGTCTTTAAATCAAAGGCAATGACCCCCAACATAACATTACTTATCAATATATAATAACCACATAAATATGAACATGTAAAGTGCCAACATTCTTTAGTTTAATCCTGGTAGGGGTATACCTAGATACCCCTACACTACCGAGGTTCTGAGGCACCGATGGGCTTGAAACCTACCAAAACTTGTACGAACAGTGTACCCATTTAACCAATCAACTAATTGCCCTTACTTACCTTAACCTTTCTTAACCCACCACCATGCCACAAGCTCAGACCTTTAATGTCTGAGCTCCGCCACCCCGCAAAAACAATGCCTTGGCCAAATCTTCCTGCAAACCCAAATTAAACAGGTCCCACCCCATGTCCGAGAGATGGATCTCATCGGGACAGAAATAGCCTGCCAACACATCTCCACCCACCTTTCTGACAAAGCTAGCCATCCATCCATCCATCCATGTGTGCTGCCAACGGAGCCAGGGGACTATTTATGACCAAACCAATGGCACCCCTGGTCCCCCTGCCCTTCTCTGGTTAATATCCTGCTTCATTCGTTTCACCAGGAAATGCTGAGAGATAAGCCCAAGGTCATTACCTCCTGCATGCAAGACCAGCACATCTGGCCTCCTACCCCCTGCCACAAACCTGCAAGCCTCCTGCTATCCATTGCCCCAGTAGCCAAACCAGAGCAACCTCATCCAGCCCTCAGGAATGCCCAGCTGCTGACCCCTCTTGGCCCAGAAGATGAAGAAATGTCCCACAATCCAAGCCACTTGACCTATGGGGACAAGAGAAACAGCCCTGGCACCCCCACAGATCACCCCCCCTCCCCCCCCCATGTGAGTCCTCACACCAATTTGTTAAGACTGACATAAGACCAGAATGGGACTGATTCCCACCAACCAATCTTTTTCACTAGTTCGTTACCCAATGCCAACCGCGTCACTTTCATCGCAGCCCTTATCCGAAACGAGTGGATTCCAAACTGACTCGACTGCAACCCCATCCAAAAAACCCAGAGAAACTGGAAACGGGAAAGCGAGGAACCGTCAACATGTACCAGGAAGGAACCGAAGCCTGTCGGACGCCAAGTCAATTACCTGGCAGCACAAGTGCCCGGGTATAAAGGGGATCCTGGAAATTCATGCAGCACCACATCAACACCTTTTCTCCTGACATCCGTCTTGGAGCGGGCCAGATGAACCACCACCTGTATGGCCTCCACACGAACATCCATGGGCAGCACTCCCCTTTGACTCCCCCGATTGGTGCTGACCAACTCCCCGATCCTGAAAGCACCGAAAAGGGCCAGCAAGAATGCCACCTCAAACAAACCCACTAGCCGTCAAAACAAATGACAGTTTTTCCAAGAGCGCAATGGAAACTGGGCTCCTGGCATCCTGGGTCTTGTTCCCTCTCCAGAAACCTTTGAGTGTTTGCTAGAAAAATCAACCCAAACCTGCATCTTAAACCAGAATGCTAGCGTAGCCATGTGTCTGTCCACCACCGCCGGAGAGGAGCCTCTGACAATATCCACCACCGCCGGAGAGGAGCCTCTGACAATCGGAAAATCTACCACAACAAAGCATCAAGCCCAGGACCTCCAACCACTACCCCTTCCACACCCTCCAGCGACTGTCCCCATGCATCCCAAATCCTACAATACGCTTCCAGGTACCTGGGGCCTGGAAAGGATCCGACTGAAAATCTGCCCCATTGGAATAACTCGACAAGCAAAATTGAGCTTACGATAAGTGACTGCAGCTGTTTCAACGTGATCTTTCGAGACCACCATACTGCTGCCAACGACTCCCGGAGCCCCAATAGTTTGTCCATGAGAAGTCGGCACTCACCCCACTGGGAGTCGCTTTCAAGCCCAAGGAAACTCAGACACATGGTCGGGCAATCAGTTTTCCACCACCAGCGGCATGCCAAAAATGCCAGTTACTCGCTCAATCGTACTCAAGAGGTAGAGACAAGATGGGGAATCCGCCGGGCCCACACACAGAAAATCATCTAAGTAGTGCACCACTGACCGACACCCAGATTTCTGCTTCACTACCCATTCTAGAAAAAAGCTGAATTTCTCAAAGTAGGAGCAAGAAATGGAACAACCCATGGGAAGGCAGAGGTTGACAAAGAACAGTCCCTCGAAGAAATAGCCCAGCAGATGATGGCATGCGGGGTAAATGGACAAGAGCTGAAATGCCGCCTCGATGTCAAACTTGGCCATCAACGCACCCTGTCTGGCCTTCTCAACCATCTCGACCGCCTGGTCAAATGATGCATAAGAGACAGAGACCAGCTCCCTGGTAATGTCATCGGTCACGGATGCCCCTTTAGGGTGAGATAAGTAATGGATAAGGCAGTATTTCCTGGCATCCTTTTTGCAACCACCCCCAACGGCGACTGCCGCAGGCTAGACATCGGAGCGACCTCAAATGGCCACGCTATCCTACCTGACGTTTTCCTTAAGCAGCTTTTCCCTAACTACCAAAAACCGACTTTAGATTACGATAACTCCGTATAGCCTCCCTATCCCTAAAAGGGATGATGAAACCCTCTTGGAAACCTGCGCTCAATAACTCAGTGTCTACCCTATTAACGTAAATGCTTAGCCACGGCCCCATTGTGGCGTGGCATCGCTGCACCACCGTTAGCACCCCTTTCCTTTTTTTATCCCTTAACGGCCGCGGATGTACTAGGTACATCCGACAAAAATTGGTTGTAAGGACCACGGACGTACCTAGTATGTCCATGGCAAATATGGCTCCTGGACTTACCTCGACTGGCGATCCGCGGTGATCCCAGACAGGGGAGACTGCCCAAGATTCCAGCAGTCCCCCTGCAGAAGCTCCGGCCACCCCCCGGCCCTCCAGGGCCATGTGACCACCATGATCAAATGGCCGCAATAGGAGTCTATGGAGCTGCCAACAGGGGGACTGTCTGAGCTGTCAAGCTTTAATGCTTTAATTATAATATATTATACATATATAGGAAATACACACATACACACATATTATATGTATGTGTCTGTATATATATACTGTATATATAAATCGTGGTGAAGGTGCTCGGAAATACCAATCTAGAGGTATTGGAGGTGTTTCTTACAGTGTTCGCTTGGCATTTGTCCCATGCTTGCTGTAACATCTGATTACTATAGCCTCTTTACTTGAATTTGTACCTCCTTTGATAAGCGGTGGTGATTGGAAGAAAATTTTATTACAACGTGAGACATTCTGGATCAGGACACTAGACACAGTGTGGCGTAAAGGTCTTAATGAAAAAGTGTCATTCTCTATGTTTCTGTAGGTCTATATCTCTGCAAATTTGATCATATTCACAAATATAATGTTTGGATTTCAAAATGTATTTTTGTTGTATAATAAGTACTCTTCCATCTCTTAGGATTGAATCATCTCCCCTCTCTCTTCCTTCTCTATCCTCTGCTTCCCAAAATGGAAGACTTTTAGAA